GCTGTTGGTGTGGGAGGAATCTTTAGGAACTCTCTGGGGAAGTGCATGTTATACTTTTCCTCTCCAACTTGGGCATTTGATGCACTAGAAACTGAAATGATTGCTATTTATTGGGCTATCTACCTTGCCAAGCATCGCAACATCATAAAATTGATAGTTGAGTCAGATTCCTTCAGCTGTATTAAATTTATGAAACAGTAAGAGGCTGCTCCATGGAATGTTGCTAGGTGGACTACTAAGATATAGAGCATTTTGAGCAATGTTGAAGTGATTTTCCAGCATATCTTAAGGGAAGGTAAAACTCCTGCACATAGTTTGGCAGCTAGAAGAAGGATAATGAAGAAATTACTGTAGGGACTATACCTTCCACTCAGCTTGAAATTCTTTTTCATGGGGATAGTTTATCCATTCCTTATATTAATTGTAGGGGCTGATTTTTTATTTTCACACTAGGTCAACTTTTGTGTCTATCTTAGATACTTCCCACTTTTTTGGTATACTTCATTGTATGATCTAGTTATACAGATGGGAAGGGTTGTTTTGAGTGATCTTCTCACTCATTATGTAATCCAACTTTCACATTAACATGTTTGGAGCTATATATATATATATATACAATTCAATTACTTGGACTTCATTTTTACATGCATGTCATTCAAAATTTTTCATTTACTGTTTAACATCTAAACTTTAAATTCTTACAGGCATTTATATATTTAAAATCTTAACATTTTTCATTTTGGAAAATCTTTCGAATTGGAAGGGAAGGTCCACTAGGATTTATAAAATTTTAGATAAAATTTTAAAATATAAAATATTTAGCTTATATTTTCATATGAAATATATTTTTATTTATCCAATTTAATTTATTTTTTTCTGTTAAGACCCGTGGGCTCGTGGGTTAGCTTAACCACTTAGTGGGCAGGTCTGACTATGAAATTCTAATAGAAATCAAGCTCAAACCCGGCATGAAACCACTTTGAATGGTCAAAACCCCGAATAAGCCGAGATCACTTCAAAGTTTAGGAGGTATATATGTAAATACATAATGATTATGTGCTACCCACACTTGTGTATTATATATAAAATTGATATTTCAATATTACATGCCTAAATTGATAAATAATTTGTGGTTCGCTAAAATAAACAAGTATGAAAGTGATACTCCTATCAAATGGAAAGAGCCGTCGAGAGTGGGCTGAGGCATAATCGAAGGCTTCTCTGGTTTTCCTGTCATCTTCTTGCTTTTCTGGGGTTCCCTGAAGTCTTGCTCCGTCGTTTGGCTCTTGGGAAGATTTGATATGGACGGCAGACAAGGCGGAATTGGAAGAGATGGAGCAAGGAGGAGCAGCATGTCGTTGACCGGTTCGTCTGGGAGGAAGAAAGGATCGGAAAATGGTGGTTTCGATGGTGGCCGGAGGAGCCCCGTCTCGCGCCCACCGTATGAACTTCTTTATTCTTCTTGATGTTTTTTTATATCTTGAAAGTTTAGTGGAAAGCTCCTTTTGGATCCTTCTTATGCCTGCTTTTCTGTGGCGTAATATATAAAGATGGACGCTTCTATTAAAAACGGCCTGTCCAGGATGTTGAATTCTGGCTTAGATTCGACTCGGACATCTGTGGTTCGTGTTTGGAAGTGATTGCTTGGAGCCAAGTTTATTTGACATTAGGCAATGGCTTATGTTGTGTAGAACTGTGAACCTTTTTTGGCTATACAGTTAATTTATCGAAGGGCTAAAGTATTTTTTATGCATCCTAATGTTCACTAAATGACTAGCCCTTTATATCAGGAACTTGTGTTTGGATGGGCCTTAATTTCTTATTTATAATTTTTCTTAGATGATCTTTAATTGTGTAAGGTTTCCCTTTTAATTTTTAACTTAGGCTACTCTTGCACTCTTGGTGCTTGCGTGCACAGCTCTTCATCTCTCTTGTTTGTCAGTAAACTTGCTCTCACATCGACAATGATCATTACTTTCCTTCTTCACGATTGGAACGTGGTAATTGTTCACATTACACTCTTTTATCTCCTTCCATTATGATTGTCTTAGATAAGGTTTGCTAGAGCAATAGTTTAAGAAATTAGATCTCAGTGGAGATTTAAAATTGCATGATTGAGTATTGATGTAATTTTTTTCAATGAGGTTGTGCGTAAGCCTCAAGGCATTTCGAGGCTTAAGTTTCAAATTAATAAATTACACAAAGTAAGAAGTATTACACTAATATATTAATGTTTAAAATAAAAAAATGATATAGTGACATCCTTCCATCAAACTATAAAATAAAGTAGACATACAATCATCAAAGTATGAATAACATCAAAACATAAAATAAAAGTGACACATAATCATCAAAGTATGACATGATATTTAAATAGGAAGATAAAATTTCAAAATAACTTCAACTCTATAAATCTCCCTTTGTCACACCCGAGGTGACCTGCCTTAAGGTTAAATAGTGGTGCCACATAAATAGACAACTTAGTTAGACACTATTCTCACCAACTTTAGTTTTAACGTGCACAAGTCGAAACTTAGTGGGTGACGAATTAGTCTCACTTAATTGTCACAAACATTCACTCCAATTCAATTTAAAATTCATTCACCTTTTCAAAATTCTTGGAGGCGTGCATAATAATTTCGTAAATCATATACATAACTGCTAACTACATATTCCAAAATTTTTACAAATTTTCCAAAATCTACTACTCAAAAGCTATACAATGTGACACCAAACCACTCAACCTAATGCTTTTTGCCCTTTCCTAAAAATCAATAACATATTGGAGTAAGCTACGAGCTTAGTGAAATAGCTAGTATTAAAGTAAGATTTTATAGATAAAAAAATATTGTGCATGTTTAACTATAACTAGTATGAGTGACAACAATATACAAAATAAGTATATTGTAATCACATGGAATAAATATAAAGAATGATACAAAATCAATAAGCTATAAATAATTGTAACAAACCTATATTTTCTCCATTCCTTGGACAATCATGAGCATCTTTAATTGCTTAATATTCAATATCTGTTATGTTAAGAATTTTATTTATATATACACAGACATTGACTTAATTCATGTTAGTTTGTTGTCACCCCGCCTGTCAGCTATATGACTATTGATAAAGGTTGGTCATCTCATAACATAACAATTATAAATAGTTCCATTGGCACCAACATGTTCATTTCATACTAAATATCAAGAATTGAGAATTCTATAAATTTCTCGTCATGTTTACATGCACATGTCATCAATAATAAAGTCTACCTATCACAACACTTGTGGTATTTCCTTAATCATTTTACCTGTTAAAAATCATTTTTTACGTGCATATGAAATTGTACAAGTATACCCACAAGCAATTATTTTAATGAACATGTCTACCAATTCAATAAAAACAGTAACATCAGTAATATCAATAGTAATAGCTCAATTTTACTTTTCTATAAGATATGCAATAATTTTTAAATACAGTTCATATAATAATCCTATAGTAAGATATTCTTCTTAATTTAATATATAATTATCTCACAAGAATTTTGAAACATTTACTTGATGAGTATCCTCGGCTTGTCTAGGTCTTATTGTCTAGAGTACACCGCCCTCATACAAGTCTTCCTGCTCTATCTTCTTTTACTTCCTTATTCCATCTTTATTTCATTTCATTTCTTGCCACAACCCACTATAGGGCAATATGATAAAATTGCTTGAATTTGTATTAATTGCATATAGATGTAATTATAATATTTTCTTACCTATATACTCACACAGCCACCGACTTCCACCCCACTCCAAACATCCTTCAATTAAGCACCCTAACACGCTAATTAGCATAGCTGCACTTCACAGTAGAAGAAATAAGAGGATAGAATAATCAGGAAATTTTACTTCCAAAACCTTCCAATAATACAATACTATTCTATCCACCAACCACTACCAAGCTGAAAATTTACAGCAAAGCAGTGAAAATGAAATGGGTTTATTAGTTTTAATGCCATTTCAATTATTTGTGTTTATATGTATTTATTTCCATCTGTTTATACAATTATTTTCACCTCTAATCCTTACAAATAATTTAGTTTTCCTTTTTAAGGTAGTCAACTCGAGAGCTTCAACTTCCCTTATGTCATTTCAGCTCTTGCCTCATTTGCAATTCATGCTATAGTGCATGGGCCGTGGGAAATGATAGTAACGGATAGGGAAAATGATGGAATGACTGCTTAATTAATACATATACATATTATATATTTAAATTTTTATTTTACCCTTTCCTCATAATTTCTTCTCTCCTTCCTTTCCCTTCTCTTCTTTTCTTTTTCTACTCTTTCCTTCTCCTTAGCTGCGTGTCACATCCCAAAAGAGCTCTTAAGGGAGGTGGGCAACCCAGGGCTTAAATACTGCTCTTCGGCCCTACACCTAGCCGATGTGGGACTTTTTGTCCGTGACATTCTCCTCCACCCAATCACATGATGCCCTCGTCATGGATCGACTCCTCTGAGGGTCCCACTGGACCATGGAGAGTCCACACACTTGACAGACAGTAATCTGCTCTGATATCACTTATCACCTCCCAAAAGAGTTCTTTGGGGTGGTGGGCAGCGCAGGACTTAAATACTGTTTTTTGGTCCTGCATCTAGCCAATGTGGGACTTTTTGTCATTGGCATGCAGCTTGAGAGCAGCATCTGCTCTATCCTGCCTCCACCAAAGTATCTGGAAGAAGAAATGGCAAAGGAGAATACAAAGTGATTATGGTTATATATCTTTATTGACGCAAGGGTGGGACACGCTTGTAACAGTTCTGTTCTTAATGGAGGATAAACGAAGAGTCACGGGAGAGGATGGGAAGGGTCGAGCCAAATGAATGAAAGGGGGAGAAGAAACGAGAATATTGTGAAACTGAAGAAGAAGAATTGAGGAGTCATGAAATCGAATGAGGAAGGGAGAGGAAATGAATTGATCCTAGCAAAAGAAGAAGTCACTGAAGGTTAGGAAGTTGGAGAGGCAAATTCGCCTATAAAGTCGCAGGCCGACTTACTTGGAGCCAAGCGGCGAGAACAAAGTGAGAATAAGGGCAAAAGCGACGTATCTGTTGTGCGGGAGGAGGATAATGTTTCAGTGACAAGCAGAGTGGAGGAAGAAGGTGTTGCTTCTTCGTCGAGCTTCGCGAAGAAGAATCGAGCCGAGTTCTGGAGGAACCATCGTGCATAAAGAAGAAAGGGAAGGCGATTGCGTGTGGGACGTGTTCGAACAGAAGGAGAAGGGAAGATTCGTGCGGGTGTTAGGTCGAGCCTTCTGCGTAGGAAGAAGATCGTCGCATACAGAGAAGGATGCGCCACTTAATGCGAGGGATTAAGAAGAACAGCTCTGCGAGGTTGAATAAAGCTGATTGCAGGAATGAGGAAGGAATTCGACTCGTTGCTCTATGCTGAAGGGTTCGCGTGCTGCCTTCACGTGGGATAGGATCGACCGAGGTAAAGTTTTTATTAAAACATAGTAGTAGTAATAGTAATAATAATAATAATAATAATAAGATATTTATATCTATAAATATTTTTATAAATAGAAATTAAGCATGATTGCATAAAGGAAAATTTAACATTTAAATAATGAAAAGCTAATAGTTTATTTAAAAATAATAAATTAATAAAAACTTATATCATGTTTTAGACTTTCGATTTTAGAATAGTTGACGTCAAGACAAATAACAAATTAATCGGCATTGAGGTGAATACTTGTACATTTAAACTATAGTCATAAATCATTTCTTCTCAAATACGTTTGCAGTTGATGTTATTTGTGGATGTTTTATTCTGATTGAGCTATTATTTTCTTTATTGGTCAAATCGTTGCGAATGTTGTAACTATTTACTCATGCATTTTAGTGTACATTTTATATAGTATGATTGAGCGATGAATGCATATGTTTATGTTGAATGTTTGTATGTACATGACTGTCATGATGAAACAACCCTTGCTAATGTACCCATGCGCATAAATGAAAAATGATATTGATATTGATGTATCTTAATTGACACAATTTTTAGACGATATCTTATTTGACAGTTGTATAAATATAAAATAATATTGATATGATAATGATATAGACATCTTTAAATAACATATCAAATGCTTATATTGATTTATAAAGAAACATAACCAACATGCATATTATTATTTTTAATTATATTTCTGTAGTTTAGAAGTATAAGTATTAATTCGCTCGTTTGGTTCATTATTATTTTAACTAATTTTTCAGGTTTAATTAAAATTGTTAAAAGATGGGCGATAGACAATAAAAAATTTATTGAAGATGCAGACAACCATCAATGATGTAAAATTTAATTGTACCGCTTTAATTTAATTTGTAGTGTCATTTGTTAAATTGAATGTTAATGTAAAAAAAAATTATTTTAAACCGTTAGATCTTTTGTTCCC